AAGGTAGCCCTCAAAATCTTCAAACATACAGAGGTATCTCAATTGGATCCGTCATTGTGAAAGTATTAATGAACATTATATTAACTAGGCTCTCATCATTTTATGAAAATCAACTCATCACAACCTAGTTCAGCTTTCATTCTTGTAAGGAATGCAATACTGGCATATATGTCATCAAACAACTCCAAGAAATTGGTTACCTCTCTAATAGGAAATTGTATACCTGCTTTGTTGGTCTTACAGCAGCATATAAACACATCAATCAAGAATTTTTTTTCTCATTCATTAGAAACCATCTTCCAAGTTCTGAAATCAAGGAGCAAATAACCCCAGTCTATAAAATCTTTTTTTAGACTATGCCTTGTGCATTTACAAACAGATGTGAAGAGATAGACACCAATCACATAAGCTTTCCATACCATATCCCAAACAAATCTACCAATAGAAGACAACAATCCTTCTTTTCTTCCAGAAAGAGGCTATACTGATGATATTGGTATACATAGTTGGGATAAAAATGAACCTGAACAGAAAATTAACATCCACTGCCAAATGTCCCAAGAAGTGGGACTGAAGATAAATCTTTCCAAAATGGAAACTATGATCTGGAATTGGAATGAAAGCAATGATGGCACATACCCTGAATCCATCATAAAAATTCAGGATGTGGATTTAGTAAATACTAAACATTCCAGATAGCTTGGTGTATGAATCAGTTATAACAAATTTAGTATAGGAGATAAGAAAATAGAACATAGACTACGTAGTTTTGCCTGACACTGCAAATTGCTACAACACCAAAACATTAACATGTTTTTAAATACCTTTGTCAGATTGAGACTTTCATATGGATGTCATGCATGCCACTAGAATTATTCAGAAATAGCTAGACTGTCAGTTATATACAACTGCTTTATATGATCAAGGGTTAAAAATGGATTTGAGTGAGTGAGGCCTATAGGACATGGTAAAGGCTACATTTTTTAAAACCTTGTGCACTGATACTACAGAACCACAAAGAACTGTACCAAATAACAGAAAAACTATCACTTGAGGATTTTCAACAGCAGCAACAGCTAAAATGGATATCATATGTAACTTGAAGAGAAAATAATGACATAAGGTTAGGGAAGAAGCCCCCCATCAATATGAAAAGAATGATACCAGCTACTGGGCTTGAGAAACTTATTTTCTTGAAAATTTCTTTTAAGAGAAAGATTTTATAAATTTCAACCAACAATATTACTTGTTGCTTGGTCAATGAATGTTGAATGTTTCCTTATAAGAAAATGTCTAATATTACCATCACTGCTCTTTTTAACTTGGCTTTTCGTTCATAAAAAGTAATCTACAACTGACTTGATAAATACAGAGTAGGAAATGCTCTAAATACTAACATCAGATCATATGAAGCCTTTTAAAGTTTCTGTCATAAAAACTTTATTATAAACAGTTTGATATTTATAAAATCTCCAATATTATGTTGGTATAAGCACTAACATAGAAACCTTAATAAAGATGTAATATGATTGCTACTTAAGTAATCGTCAGCTAATAAAAAATGCTATTGTCTGAAACCCAACATTCTTGAATGTATATAAAAATTATTATTCCAAACACATTACTTACAGTTCCAAGCATGTCATGACATGTTAGTGTCACATGACTTTCTACATTAATTTGCATTTAATTTTAAAAAAGTAACAATACTTTTAAAAAATAATGATGCAATCTACTTCATGAAACAAAATTTTCTTTATTCACACACATCTCCTGATGATGGCACATGTTAGTTGAAAGCTTGAGAAAATACAATGTAACATGAAATTTGAACAATTTATCCACACACAAGAATTTGTGAAATGGTATTTTTTGTTGTGTATGATACACCTAATTTACATAAGCGGACTACCGACCATATAAATATGGGTTGGTACCGGAAGACGGGGAAGATAGTAGAGATTAAGAAATTGAATCCAGAGACTCTGCCCGACTGCGATTTAGTCAACCCATTATGCAGGAACAGTCTTCCCAAGAATATACCAAACTAACTGTAAATATTGTGTACCTATTCTTTGTTTCAATACATTTTGTTAACGTACATTTTGTGTTGTATTATTCCATGCTTATTTAAGCTTCAACATTTTTCCATTAGAAAAAATGATCTTTAAATATGATAGACACAAAATATCTATTTCTTTAAAAGAACAATTGCTGTTGAAATATACTGAATTTAAAATCTCCTTTTGTGAACAATTGTGTATGACACATTACTTGTGCTCAGACTAATGTCCTCATCTTATCACAATGTTTCAACTGTTGCGTCCTTTGGTCTTCTTCAGGTGTCTTATGATCTAGGTAACCTTCAGGGAATTTCGTAATGTTTATATAATCTATGGGAGTAGATTGTCTTGTTCTGCTGTCCTTGTCTAGGCATATCCAATCTTGTTCATTTTAGTATTGCTCAGTTACTGAGTCTGTATTTATACTACCCTGCCCAGAGATTGAACTCACAGCCACTATGCCACTAAATTAATGAATCAAAGCTTTAAACCTCTTGGCTATTGTCTTGTGATAATAACAACAAAGACGGGGACATTCGTCCCACTGTAAATAATGTAAATAATAACTCATCACCCCAGAAATTTAGTTTTGGACAATGAACAAAGGGATGCTGAAAAGTTATCATCCCAACCAACTTCCAAAAATCTAACCAAATGAACATGACCTTGGTCAGGTTGAGAACTTTTCAACACCCCTTTGTATTTAATTTGTATTTTTACTTCTCTTAGAGTTATTATCATAATCAGTCCCTTTAGTAAGTATCGATGTTTCAATCTGAAACATTATGAGATATCATTTAATTTGTTACTTCTGAGGTTCAAATTTTGACTGCACTTTGATGTGATCTGAAAATAATTGGCAGCACTGATATTTAATCACATAATATTTTAAATTCTTTTAGGGAAGAAGTACAAAGAAACGTCATGCATTGATATTGTCTTTAAACTTTCATGGAGATTTGTTTCATATTATTAATTTTTGTTTAGTATTTCTATCATCTTAATTTTCTTTTCATCATTACCCAAACCATCATCAGTAAGCAGCACGAATAGAAAATAAAGAATTATCCCTAGATATTACTAGAATTTCCATCTGTCTCTGAAAGTCTATTTTATCATGAGAGCTGCTCTTATCAATTGGACTACAGGGACTAATGATTAGTAGAATTTCAAATATCATATATAATCTCATCTAATTTTTTCCTGATTGCTAAGTTCAATATTTAATACTTTTCTTTGTCTTGCATGCATCACTTGTGTCCATAGTAGTACTAACATTTTGAACTTTTATTAGGTGAAACATTGTCAACCATTATTGATTTTACTAGTATTTCTTACACTTTAATTTTCTTTTCTTCATTAACCCATACATCATCAGTTAGCATTACGGATAGGAAATAAAGAATTATCTCTTGAGAAGACTGGAAGTCCAATCTGTTTTGTCTCCAGAAGTCTGTCCACCCATGACAACTGCTCTTATTGATTGGGCTACAAGAACTAACATTTAACAGAAGATCAAATCTAACAGTATAAACTCATTCCTTATTTTTCTATGATCAATTGGGGCCATGTTTGATGCTTTTCTTTTGTTTTTACATTGTCTTGAGAAACCTTGGACCTTCACCCAAAGAGTTATTCTTCAGCTGGTGATAGCACTACAGCATCTGTCATGGTTGTATAGGCTCACATGGGAGTGACAGTCTCAGTTGCAATGTATACATGTGAAGACACTCTCCCACGATGTTGCCTTATTGTTTACTTTCCATCAAGCAAGTTTCTCCCTTGATTCTCCTCTCCTCACTTGAACCCTCAGTGTAAATCATGTCTCCAGCATGAGTGATCTTTGGTAATGCATTCCCACCAATTGATCTCTATGCCCATTAACCTCATGTCCCTTTTGCAGACATCATCGAAGTGAAGATGAAGTAGCCCTCATGCCCTCTTGCCAACAGCCAGTTCCCTATACAAAAGGGCCTCTGGAATCTACTCATTAGGCATATGGTGTACATGTTCAAGCCAGCAAAGTTGCCTTCATCCTCTTCTCTCTCTTTTCCAGCCAGCATGTTGTAGCAACGACGTCCACAGAACCTTCCTGAGCATGAGGATATCTCTCCCCTTCCTCTCCCTTTCACATATATGTGTATGCATGTGTGTGTGTTTGCGCATGTGTATGTATCACCCTCTCAATTCCTAATTCAGTAATATCTTCTTTCTTTTGCATGCATACCTGTGTATGTCTCTCCATTTTATTCAGTTATATAAAAACAACAACAACAACAAAATATATATATATATATAATCTTGGTGAAATCCATTAATTTCCTTACACTTGTTATTATTTCTTTGTGCCACGTCCCTTCAGGACATAGGCGATCAAGGCTCTACACAACTTTCTTGAGTTTTTCTTAGCAGTTTTTCTCTTACTTGTGCAATGGTCAGCAAGTTTGTCTTGCTAGATCAATTATGACTGAGTAGTAAGTTCGATTCTTACTGAGTGCCCCATACTTTAGGCCTTGTGCCACATCTAAGCTATGCTTACAAAATCATTTTGGGTCATTTCAAGTTGGTGTAATGGTTCGCAAGCTTGTCTCGCTAGAAAAATGACGACTGAGTAGTGAGTTCGATCCTCACTGGCTGCTCCATGCTTTCAGCCTTGTGCCACGTCTAAATCACCTTAGGAATTTTTCGCCCTGTGCTGAGGCCTCCGCCCCTCGTTCTGCCATTCATTCACACTCATTCTGGTCAGTAAAATACCTCGCTGCTTTCCCTTATTTCTCTTACCCTCATAACGTCCTGTTTCTCTTACCCTCATAAGGTCCTGTTAAGATTAAATTTTCAAAGTCCCCGCTTCATTATTATGTCCAAGAAATTTTCTGAAATTGCGTATAAGTGTTCTTTCTGTTGCCATTTTCTTTAAAACTTCGCCGTTGCTTACTCGCACCCCGTACGATCATCGAAGTTAAGTCACGTCGAGCCTGGTCAGTACCTAGATGGGTGACCGCTTGGGAATATCAGGTGCTGTAAGTTTGGATGTGCGGGTGGTGTAATGGATAATGGTATTGCTAATCGGAGAGCCGATTTCAAATTCCAGTCAGGTTCTATATATTCACTTACGCACAAATACCCTTAAGAAAGGTATGAATCTACCACTTCGCTTATTATTAATTAGTAAGACATGTATTACTAAATCATTATCTCCTGCAAAAAAAACTGTTAAATCTAAAAATATCTTCTGCCTTTAAATAACTTGATAAGCCGTAGTAAAACGAATCAATCAATTAAAGCAAATGTAATTTTTCGGCTTCAGAAGAGCAATAAATTTTATACGAGTAACTCACTTGCTATAATTATCATCTTTTTCATGTATGTGCCATGTCCCTTCAGGACCATTGAGATAAGTAAGCCGTCCGAAGTTCCAACTGTCAGGCCACCCATGGCGTTAAGGTCGAAGAAAAAGGAGCAGACTGAACTCAACCAACCTCCGAAGATCCCAACGGTGGAATACGCAAAAGATTTACACGATCTCAATGGCCAAACGGGCAGAAGTTGGCAGCTCCCCAAGGCTGACCTTGACGGATAAAGCATCTGACAGCGCAATGCAACCAGATATCATCTGTCTCAACCCCCTTTGAGCCAAGTGTGTGGACTTCTCCGTCGCGCAGAGTTGTCCACCAAAATCAAATTCACGCGTATGACCTCGTCAAAATCTCTTTGATTCACAGCCATCTCTGCCACCGCCAGCAGAGGAAAGAAAAAGGATAGAGAGAGAGAGAGAGAGAGGATGACGATCCCGATGGTCGGATGCGAGCAGATGCTGACATGTTCAGGACGTGGATGACTTCCTATCCTTTGTAGCACTTTTCAAGATTTGTGTCCACCCCAGCTCCCAATTCCTGTTCTGCCATCCATTTACAAAAGTTCGTCAGGTAGGTTACTTGCTACTTTCCTCTGTTGTGATAGCAACAAAGATGAGGACAATAATATAAATAACAGATCTAAAATGTAAGATGGCAGATCGGATGCTTTTGTATAATTTAGAAGGTTTTCTTGAAAAAAATTAGATTCAATTCAATGTCCTGGTGGCGGAATCGCTCACTAAATAGGATAACATAATAAAATTTAAAGGATATACCATCAATATGTCCCGTGTGTGTTAAATTCTCCAATCTCCCTTTCTTCATTTCAACTTTTTCTTTGTGATTCTAAGTATAATCGTCCTTTTTGTTTCCATTTCACTTAAAACTTCCTCATTCCACATATGTTCAGTCAACGGTTCTCTCAGCATCTTTCTGTAGAACCATATTTATTTTACCTCAGATATCTTTTTCATCTATGTGTTTTTCCAGCAGTCACTGCCATATAGTTTTATTTTGAATTGAAGTATATTTCATGTGGCCCAAAGTCGAAGGCGAAGAGCCAAAGTCTGGTCATCACTGACCATCTTACATCTAGTTAATCTGATTTATGACCCATTCATTCTTAAAATTAACTCAATCACCAAAAGAACCCATCCATTTTTACTCAATTGAACATTTACCAAAACATCACATATAAGAACCTATTAAAACTCCCTAAAAATTTGGATATGTATTTTTTTCTTGACTGAACGAACATTTGATTTTTCCCACCCGGCTACTTATTTTTGTCTCTTACTCGCCTGTAGTGAGCAAGCTTCTTGATTTTGTTTATTTGAAGAATACATCAGCGGCTCTTATTTTTCTGTGGGGTGGATGGTTCCTACTAACATAAGTTTGTTTCCGTTTGAATATTTTGTTTTATTTTATTTTTGGGTTCATCCCTCCACCATCCTTTGATGAAATACTTTTGTATACCACTTCCATATAGAAGGAATGATATTTTATAATAGTTTAGCGCTTTTTTCTTTGTCTGTAACAAATTTTTCCTAAGGGAGCTGTAAAATTAAAATCTTTAACAATTTTTTTAGTTCTTTGTATGACGATAAATTATCCGGCAGCAAGGCCTCTGATCGGGAGGTCATGAGAAGCACGGGACCATTTCTTTAATGCAGTTGTACCCAGGTCCACTCTGACCAGGGGTGGTAGCACCTGTTAGGGTCGCAGCTATGGGCAAATAGTGAACCCTCAAAGCACCCCCCCAAAAAAAACACATTTTCATAGTAAAAATACTAGCAATACATTTTTATATAAAAATAACCAACAATCCATATTTGTCTATATTTCTGAGATGAGGTATTACGTACATTATTTACATTATTCGGACTATTGTCCTCATCTTTGTCGCCATATTTATTACAACGTTTCGGCCGTTGTGCGCTCCGGCCGTGGAGCACTTTCAGTGGGAAAATTAACAGGAGATAACTGATAACTGACATCCATCAAACATGGCACGTGGAACTAGAACAGTCTACCCCAGTGTGCGAAATAAAGGGTTCAGTTCGACATTCCAACCATCTGAAGAAGGCCGGAGCGTACAACGGCCGAAACGTTGTAATAAATATGGCGACAAAGATGAGGACAATAGTCCGAATAATGTAAATAATGTACAATCCATATTTATAGTAAAATTACCAACGATACAATTTTAAAGTAAAATGACCAGCAATATATTTTATGGTAGAATTACCAAAAATACATTTTATCTATATTTGAAACCATAAGATTGTGTTCAAAATATTTAGATTTCATCATTAAATAACTCATAGAGGTTAATACGACGATAAACAAAATCAACCAACCGACCAAATTAAACAGAGAGACTCGTTTGGAATCTTTCATTCGAATTTTCAACTTTAAAAATATTAAAGAAAAGAGTTTTCTCTTTCTTCGCCATTTTTTTCATGTGTTTGTTCCCTGTATATTATGTTCAAAGTATTTTCAGCATTCGAAATGAGGAAATTGTTCAACATTTATTGCCATCGAAAATGATTCCTATTACATAGAAGTTCGGTACACTTTTTTCTTTGTTTCTAACAAAATTTTAGTGTTTTTCCAGAGGATGGAGAATGCGACGTCGAAATCCGACCGCGCATTTGAAAAGAAATTAGAAGATGCATTAGAATGTTAGAATATCGAAAGAGGCCTTCCAAAAGCTAAGCAAAGTAATAAGAAATGTGAAAATGCCCTTAGAATAAAAAAAGAGTGCTGAACAATTATGTACTATCAATCTTCATATATTGCAGTGAATGCTGGGTAATCTTCTCACTGATGAAATCTGTAAAGGGACAAATGTTGTCAAGGGCTACAATGGATAGGAAGTTGTGCAGAGTCATGATCGGCCACGTCCAGAGTGGACACGGCACGTAGAAGAACGAATTTATCTGCTTCCTAATACTCGATTTTGATATAGAATGCATGCAAGTATAGAATATATTTAATTGCAGTCTACAGGATATTGATAATGAACTAGATATCATTTCAAGCTATCTCTAAGGATTACAATCCTCCACAGTATTGGCCCTTTGTGTCAGAATAAGCTCAAATTACGATCAATAAAATTAGAATTAAACCAGTTTGCAAAAAGAGTACCTAAGTTCCTCAACCATTCGTAATATTTGTATCAATTTCTGTATGGGAAAATCTTTTCTCTTGGAGAATCCTTTTTCTTGGAACGCTCCCCAGACATCATAGCGCCCTGTGAAACTAAATCAAATTCTTTAATCTCTACCACTGAGTTATCTGTTCCTTGTAATTTTCCTCTGTATCGAAAGGAATCTAATGTGTACATGCATGGCTTCGATGTCTATGTGAGGGAAAATTCCCCAATTCAACTCGGTTTGTTCCCATTCTACCTTTATCATTCCCTTTCTTTTCTGGACTGTAGATTGTTAGAATCTCTGACAGTATAGCAATGGCTCTCTCTCTACAGTCATCTGCAAACATCTTTGTGTTTGGCGACTTCTATGCCCATCATGTAAAGTAGCTTGATCCTTCCAATACCACTGATCAGTTCGGCATCCAGACTGAACTTCTCAATTGCTCAATATTTCACCCAATAAAGTAGACTTTGATACTCGTTTATAAGAGAATTCGGACAGACATGCTACTTTACTTGTTCATACCCAGATGTCCTCAAGGACACATAACAGTGGAAAAAGGCGTTGGTTAGATTCCAGTGACAGGACCCAAAGAGTGTGAGTTCAATATCCGGTTAAGGCAGTGGAGAACATTCAGAGGGAAATTAACAAGAAATAACTGATAACTGACATCCATCAAACATGGCACGTGGAACTAGAACAGTCTACCCCAGTGAGCGAAATAAAGGGTTCAGTTCGACATTCCAACCACCTGAAGAAGGCCGAAACGACATGGCGACAAAGATGAGGACAATAGTCCAAATATGGCGACAAAGATGAGGACAATAGTCCAAATAATGTACATAATACCTCATCTCAGAAATATAGACAGACTCCTATAAACCCTTATTTATAAGATTTCATTTTGTTACCAACGCACTGATTGAGATTTGTTTAAGATTATTTCCTGTAAAAGCGGTCGAATGTCTCGTAATGGATCCGTCAGTTATCAGGAGAATTGAATCAGAAGTGGAACACACAAACTCTAGTATGTATGCAACTGAAAAGGAAAAGAAAAGCATTTACAACGTTAGCGGTAGTGTGTCTGAGAGAGAGAGAGAGAGAGAGAGAGATTTGTGCATGTGGGAGTTGCATCAGGTGGCCGGTTGAATAAGTGTCCCTATAAAGAGAAGATTGGACAAGTTTTCCACCTTCTAGGAAGAAGAGAGTGAAAAGAGGAAGTGTAATATTAACCGAGCTTTTACAATCAGATCAAATGGGAATAATCCGCATAATACTATCTTTGTTCATATATATATATATATATATAAAGAAAACATCTTAGTTGACGCGTTTCGTCTTCTGGGGGACTTTATCAAGGCAGGTGTAAAGATTTTATTCCATAAAAAGTATTTAAGAACCTATTTTGGCAGCATATCGCCTTAATACGGACAGAAAATGAGTTCAGCAGATATACAAAAATCTACAAGGAGGTATCTTCTTACCGGATTTATTCAACCTATACAGCGAGG